AGCAACAAAGGATTACGCCTTAATACCTAAAATACTGTTTTAAGGTCCTACAGCGACATGGATTGATCTACTGATGAATATATACCGAACTGTTCCATGAGAATTTGTTTCAAAATAGCGTTTACTTTTATTTTTGGCGAAAGTAAGCGTCGTAAATGCTCAACCAGTATTAGAGATGACAATAAGCGTCACTTTCGTATTCCCCTTCCTGCTGTTTTCGTGCTCCACTGTACTTGTTTTGCGTTATAGTTCATTTGTTGCACTTCTCAACTTTTCCTTTGTGTGTTTCCATAAAAAATCACCGTTCTTGATGGACAGAGCACATTTACGGTGGGGCTTCCAGAGAGCATTAATCCACATTTCCGCACCTCTACTCCGCAGCTGAGTTTGTGAAGGAGTAGGGAGGCGGACGCGTCACGCGAGACGAGGAGAGGATTTCGTGTGATCGGGGCCTTCTTGTGACTGCATTGTTTGCGAGCTACACCGTTCCTCTCCACTGATAACTGGTGGTGCGTCTGTTTCTTCTTGGTAAGTGATCATGCCTTTCTTCGCGTGTTATGCGTTGGGCAAACAATTCCCCTTGCGTAGGCGCGCAACGTTTGTCGCGTATTTGTTTCTGTTGAATCATTACGTAGTTCAAGCGTAGTTCAGCTTGTAATACGATAAGTAACACCTTTTAACAACTTTAGGGTTATTATGTGCCATTGAAATTGGTGATGTCTGTTGGTAAGGAAACGTTTTATGAGGGGTTGTCCATGTTCAGGCGGTTTGGGTCATTCCTGTTGCTCTGTCATAGGTCCAATGTTGTAATTCTAAACAGTGCGCAAGATACCTACATCTCAGTCTTCAGAATAATCTGTTTAGTACTCTACATGTCCATGTGGCATTTTGATGTTCCAAACCCTACATTAATGTGCATGTAACTCAGGCAATCTTAAAATGTGCTGAATGTTTAAATTGTTTGCATGTGAATTTGTCAGAACATTTTGCCTGAACTTACTCTCCCATCATCATTACTGCCCTTAAAATTGGCTTTCTATGCAGTGGTACTGGTGGCAACTGCACCAATTCCAGTACTAAGAACTACAGCAAACATACTTGTTTTATGCAGCAGTGTCCCTGTTTCTAGAAAATGTGTGGCTTGACATGTATTTCATCATGACTTGCCTGCAACAGGTTTTGGTTATATGCTGACCTTATTTGCCATCCTCAAATTCATAACTTGTTTGTGTAAAATCGGGGCATACTGCAGTGACACATTTTTCTCTTGTGCATCATTGCTATAAGTTTTGTGAAGTGGGTTGGTGTGTGACGTGCTTGGTCAAAATTGATATGGCTACTTTAAGTATACAATTTTGGGTAGTGTTGGTTGATGGGAATACATTGTTGATGACAAATATTTTGGAAATTGACCTTCAGCAGCATCTGTCAAAACATGCAGGCTGAAAAGTGGATGTCAATCAAAGATTATTGTTTTGAAATGTTGAACTTGATCATATCAGTTTTTTATCAAATCATGCTATCATTAGTTTTAGCTTGTTAAATCACTTATCTAGAAGTGTTTTGGTTATTTCATGACACATTCAGCTGCCGTGGTTAACAGCATTGCAATCTCTTGTGAATGGCAGCTGGGGGCACCAAAGCACCTTTTAGGTAGCTGGGCTCAAACTCAGGATTTGATGCACTTGTATAGAAAGACTCAGTCCACCTTAACTATGTATGTTATATATCAAACAATCCAACCATGTTTAATTCCTCATGTTACACAGTAATATAGCACTGGAATAATTGTCAAGAAAGCACTGCAGGCACTTCAAGAAAAAGCAAGGCATAGAATGCTACTTGACATGGATTTGTGTGCTGAGGCTAACAAAACAAAAGTGTTAAGTGCATATGCATACTGTACATGCTGGCTATGTGGATAAAAGAACATACTCTATAGGGTGCACACATTATGTCAGTTTGCTAGATGGACATGTTCTAGTTGCTTGCTATGACATGTCTCAGCTGCTATGTTATTGTCATCTACTGTATTGTTATTCATATCAGTTAGCGCAGCCTGAACAACTGCATTATGTCATGTAAATGTAATTTAAAAACTGCCTTTAGAATGTGCCCAAATTGATTTTTTAATGAACATTGACATCTATTATGTGTCAGCCTAAAATGATGCTCTTGAGCAAGTAATGTGATGGTGTATTAGGGTCTGTCTGTCCTTGGACAGGATATTTGGAAGTCACATAATTTTTGATGAATCACAACTGACTGAATCTTTGTTATGAAAGTCAGACATGTGGTGTGCATGAAATTATGGTCTTTGAAAAAGTGTGGATGTGAATTATGCCATGTCAGTATGAAGACTAGGGTTCAGTTCCAAGTATAGGTTAAGCTGACTTTGTGTACAAATTATCCTTTTGTCTGAATGGAATTGGCAGAAATAGGTGCTTCCTATCAAACATTCCACCAGTGTTCAAAATCAAGTCATATAGGTCTCCCATCAAGTCCATTGGAAAAGTTGTCTCAATGGAATGTTTCACATTTGCAGATGTTTAAGCAAACCATCAGGTATGATAAATCAGGCTCACTTATAACTATAAGTGTACTTTTTAAGTGGAAAAGAGTGCCATAGACAGCACAATTCTCTGTTTAGTAAATATGCTTCTGAATGTGTCATGGTTTGATCATGTCATTGTGCCTTGCACAACATTGATTGAGCACCATTGGTCAGCCATTATATCTGGAAATTGCACTCATGAATGCCAGAATTAACCCCTCAACAATTGTACTTTTCTTGACCTTGATTGTTGCATGGTTTATGGTTTGGCTGGATTGGAATGGGATTATTATGACATGAATGCCAGGGTGACTTTGAAATACTTTCCACAATATACCTTCCCCTTTTTGTGGACTCTTCAACGTGGCTATTTCAATTGAAAGCCTGACGTGAATGTGGAGCACTCCTTGAAGTGCACTTGTGAGGAACATCATATGTATAGATGAGACAGCACTACTAGCCTTATTTCACATCAAACCACCAGGAGAATGCAGAGACAGATGGATTACATGTATCTAACATGCCAGAGATATATGCATCTGTATATCCATTCTCCTGGCTATTTTACAAGGTATTAGATTATGGGTACTGTCTTATTCAAAAGTTCAATGGGTATGTCCACACCATAAGCAATGCCAAAAAAGGCTTGTCATGACAAATCCTGACAAAAAGACAACATGCACATGTGCCTGTGTTAACACTGGTCAAAAACTAGTCATAGTCTTTGTGGCACTGTAAATGTGAGGGTCAAGTGCTGTGTTCAGACTACAATGTGGCTCATCCAAATGGCTCCAAACTGTCTTTTGATGTTGTGGTTCCTTATGGAAAGGCACATTCAAATTACAATATGGCTCACTTCAATGGCTCCAAACTGTCTTTTGATGTTGTGGTTCCTTATGGTAGGGCTGCATCCAAATTACAATATGGCTCATTTAAATGGCTCCAAACTGTCTTTTGATGTTGTGGTTCCTCATCGTAGGTTATTTGCTTAAGCCCCAACAGATATGAGTTTGCTTCCACTGCATTCTGTCCACCACTAGCAGTCCAAAATTCATCCAGCAGGGAATGCAGGGTGTAAGTGTAAGTTCATGCTAACAGATGTCCGGCTCCCAGCGACACTCGTGTGCACGTTTTGGTGACTGTTTGATTGTTGCTGTTTGGCCACCAGCCCTGGCATCTGACCTGGCCAGCCCACTTGCCAAGCCCCATGCACCCAGATGCTGGGTTCACTGCCAGCTGTTGCCCTTTGGCCACCAGTCGTGGCATCGGACTTGGCCGGCCCACTTGCCAAGCCTGATGCGCCCAGATGCTGGGTTGACCGCCGTCGGGTCAATGCTGATTGGCTGATTTTGAGCTAGGAGGGGAGCAAAAGGCATTGAACTTCGAGCTGCAGAATGGCATGAAAAGCGTGGACATCCGTGTCACCCAAGTGACCGAATGCTCGGATAACTGGCCGCTGTTGGCCGTTCTGTGATGTGATAACGGGTAACTCACACAAGTGACGAAGCACTCGACGATTTTGCCGTGTACGTGCGGCGCTGGAGTTTGGTTTACCTGCTGTTTGGCTTGCTAGTTTTGGGTGGAGGCACATGGGGCTGTCAGCCTGTCTGCGTTTATTTCATTGCTGTAAATTTGACATTGATTTGTGCAGATGAGAGGCCAGTTCTGCTGTGTTCTTTGAAACTGAATGTGGCTGTGGTAGTCCTGACGAGAACCGCAGACTTATTCTGTGAGACAACGACAGTTAGTGTGCTCACGCCGCCGCCTACGGCAGGCGCGGTGCTGCTCGACCTCAGCACTGGCCGGCAGCAAGTTTTTCAGTGTAGCCGCCGGCAGGCGGACCAACCCGCTCGCGGTCATTTCACGCCACGTGTTCTGGCGTATCGGTCGGCTGAGCGGACAGAGGCGTCACACTAGTGCCCCTTGTCCGCACAGTCGGCAGCGGACCCGGCGCGGCGGTGAGCGATGGCCAACAGGTCCGGCGGGGCTCAGCGGCCCAACGGCGGCCAGCAGGGCAAGATCTGCCAGTTCAAGCTGGTGCTGCTCGGCGAGTCTGCCGTCGGCAAGTCCAGCCTGGTGCTGCGCTTCGTCAAGGGCCAGTTCCACGAGTTCCAGGAGAGCACCATTGGCGGTACGTGACGGCCGGCTGCCGGCGGCGTGATCTGGGGGAGCCCTGCAGCCGCGGGCGGTGGGGACGGCGGTTATCACTGTGGCGTGTCAGCTGCCTAGATGGCTATCCCCGGTCGCCATTGGAAGGTCACGTTATACGACGCGGCACCTTTCTTTACTTTCTCTGGGTAGAGAAGGCTATTGAAGCATCCTCATCGCTCCATGAGTTGTATCCTCTAATGTCAGGACCCTGTTGGTGTACCAACTGCGTTTGAGTCTGCCTGGAGGCAATGAACTGAACCTTGGAGTTCTTTCAACTATGTGGCAGTGCAGAGGATTTGGCCACTAGCTCAGGTGAAGATGTGTCCTGTCATTTGTAAGAAACCCCTAGTTTTGGCATCGACCGATCAAAAATCGTGTTTGGGACAGATGGGTTTGAGGTTTTGGTATTTCACTCCAATTGATCGTGTATTTGCTTGCATGTTAGCGGTCTTTGTGTGTCGTACAAATCTCCAAATCTTGGCCTTAGCGTGTTTCCGTTGGCAGTCAATTATTCAGCCGTGTTTTCTGGCGTATTTTAGCCCACGGCGCTACGGCCGAATGCGAGGCGTAACGCAACAGTGTGTCGATTGCTCAGCGTTGTTTGTCGAAAGTTTTTTTTGATTTGCTTGTCCTTCTCGTTCTGGAGCAAGTAAACACAAGCACTTCTCGTGCCCCGGTCCCCTCAAGATGTGCTAGAGAGAAAAGTAATATTGCTCATACGGACGGGAATACCACGCCACTGACAGACCGGGCTGCTTCCGCCGGCCGGGTGCCGTGCCGGGGAGGGCCATCATAACACTGCTGGCGGTGACTGGCCGGACGTCCTCCCCCTTCGCCCGGACCCCCTCTCTGACCGCATGCACGCGGCGCGCCGGCAGCGGCGTTCCTGACGCAGACGGTGTGTCTGGATGAGACGACGGTCAAGTTCGAAATCTGGGATACGGCTGGTCAGGAGCGGTACCACAGCCTGGCGCCTATGTATTACCGCGGCGCCCAAGCCGCCATCGTCGTGTACGACATACAGAGTCAGGTGAGCGGGAGGCACAGGGTCAGAGGTCGGAACAAATGGCGGAAGGTCGGGGCCGCGCTCTCCACTGGAAAAGCACTGACCTGAGTTGCTACCTAAGGCGTCGTAAGTGCCTGCGTCATACACAAGCTGCTGTTCTCCAAGCCGAAGGAACTGTTTTGACGCACCAACCTGATGTCATAGGTTGCAGCTGGGGGACAGCTGTTGTTAATGGGGAAATGGGGAATGCGGCCCAGGTCGTGCGCAGGACGGCGCTGGAGGGAGGGGGGGGGGGGGGGGCTGCCCTGGGCTCTTGTAAGCTGCACCGGTGTTGGGTGTCATGTGGCCATTGGACAACGAATGGTGTGGTGATTTCAGTCCGTATTTCACGCTACTTGTGTCGAATTGTTTCAGCGTTGCATTTTGCATTTTTACCTCCGGGAGCGGTGTTTCCTCAACTGTTTGTAACAGACCATTTGCGTTCAAACCGACTTTTTGGTTGGGCATTGATCGCCAGCGATGTGGGTAAAGCGCATCGACTGGTAAGGTCATTATGCGTCCATTCAAAATTGAGTGGGTTGAGTGTGTGCACGTTAAAAATCGCACCCCGTGAAAGGGGCTCTCCTTGGCGGAAAGGAAGGTTCGTAACATGTCACACTCCAATCTTGGTTGGTTTTCCTGATCGGCGTTCGAAACCCAGTTGACTGTCGGTCAGTCTGATAGGCCGTCCGGTCCCGGCCGTCCGCATCTGCCAGTCTGATCTGGCTCAGTCTGTGGCGGGCCGCTCGGTCCCGGCCGTCAGCTTGGACGCGGCGCCGGGCACGGTACCCATAACATCACAGTGGCACTGTCACGTTTGGAGGTGCAAGCTGCCGGCGGCGCCGCACGAGCGCCCGAGGCTGATAGTGCTCAGATAGCGCGCCGCCGCCGTACGAGTGGCTACAGCTCGGAGGAGCGGAGCCCTCTTGCTATTGACGGAGGGCGCTCTCAAAAAATCATCCTCAGCTGCGGATAGAGCCGCGTGGGTGTGTTTGTGCGGCATGTAGAAGTGCGACGCTGAACTTAATCAGATGCCATGTGCGCGCATGGCGTGTGTTGTGGCTGGCTCCAACAAAAATCGCGCGTTGTTTAGTGCAACCAGTGCAGACAGGGTGCATCCTACGGACATAATTGCATTATCATATGATATGAGAAGCGCGTAGCGCTGGCAAATTCTTGCCGCCGCAGGAAACCTCCGCCGGTCCCGATTTTCGTCAGGGTTGACAACACTTATCGCCCGGGGTGTTGCATTGGCCGGTGAAAAAACAGTCATCTTGTTATCGCCACCGTGGAGCCGTACCACATTATCGTCCCGCCTGTCGCCATCGCAGCACTGGCTGCCATGACCACTTCTGCGCGGTCGCCACACAACATATATCGCGCCGGTCGGCGTCGGTTAGTCACGTGGGAGCGAAAGGAATGACACGTGTTGGTCCGTGCAGTCCGTGATGGCATCGCACTGCGTGCACGCGGGGAAAGGGCGAATCCTCCGCCCCTGTGTCCTCGGATGACGTCACGGGTTGTGAGCGGCGCGGTGCCCGGGCTTCCCTTTCGGCGACTTGTCGGGGGGTAATGGCATTAGGTGTGCGTCGCCCACCGGCCCGAAATGGTCGTGTTGTGAGGCGGAAAATGGCGTTTAATACTCCTGCAGTCGGAGGGCTAGTGGTGCCTCATAGAACGCCAGGGGCGCCTTATACCTTTTCTGAACTAACACATCGTTGGAGGGATGGGGCGAGAGGCTGTTTGGTCAACACTGTGTTGCGTTAGCGACTCCCAGACGCCTGTTTGCATCTATCTCTGCACTGAACTTGAGCCCCCACCTATCTGTGGTGTTTGTGGCGTCGCTGTGACGCCACGCGACGACGCCGGCGTGCTAGCGCCGTCGCGCACGCGTGTGTTCATCTGCGCCCCGTGTTGTCTGCCTTGTGACGTGTGGGAAACCCTGGGCGCCTACGTTCCACCGTGCGACACTGGTGCCCCCACCGGTGGCGCATGTCACACTGTGAAGCCAGACGCGCGTGGGCTAGCCTGTCACAGTTGAATTCGGCCATGTACCGTCCGCTGATCTGGTGGGCGCCGCCGGCAGGACACATTTGCGCGCGCTAAGACGTGGGTCAAGGAGCTGCAGCGCCAGGCGTCGCCCAACATTGTGATCGCGCTGGCCGGCAACAAGGCCGACCTGGCCAACAAGCGCATGGTGGAGTACGAGGAGGCGCAGACTTACGCCGAAGACAACGGCCTGCTCTTCATGGAGACGTCCGCCAAGACGGCCATGAATGTCAACGAGATCTTCCTGGCCATCGGTAAGAACGCTCTCCGGGCGGGGGCTGGCCCAAGAAAGGCTGACGCGGTGGGCCTGTCTTGGGGCAGCGGCGGGTCTGGACGAGAAGGGCGGGTTTATCGTCGCCGATTTATTCAGCGCTCTGTCGCTTCGCATGCATGCTTGTTGTGGAGTCGTTTAGCTGGCTAGGTTTGTAATGTGTTCGTCACATTTTACAATGTGACCATTGACCAGGCTGTGGTTCTGCATAGATTAGGTGGCGTACATTACAGCCGTGACGGTCGCCCGTCTCCGCGGCTCTTTCCGCCGCACGTCCTGGCGACCCGCGGATGGACACCGAATGTCGTGACGTCGAGTTGCATCATCCCTGCGACATAATCGGTTTATTCTAGTTCTCGCAGTAAGCACCGAGCATGGCCGCTCCGCCCCTGTGGCCACCCCCGCCGCTGTTCCTCCCGCCACCCCCGCTGCCGTTTCTGCCACCACACCCGCCGCGTTCCTCCCGTCACCCCCGCCGCCGTTTCTCCTGCCATCCCTGCCGCTGTTCCTTCCGCCACCCCCGCTGCCGTTCCTCCCGCCACACCCACCCCCTTTCGTTCCTCCCGCCACCCCGTCGCCGTTCCTCCCGCCACCCCGCCGCCGTTCCTCCCGCCACACCCGCCCCCTGTCGTTCCTCCCGCCACCCCGCCGCCGTTCCTCCCGCCACCCCGCCGCCGTTCCTCCCGCCAACCCCGCCGCCGTTCCTCCCGCTACCCCCGCTGCTCGTGCCCAGGCGGGCATGGAGCTCCCGCTGAGCTCCCGTCTCTCCGCAGCCAAGAAGCTGCCGAAGAGCGAGCCGGGCGGCGCGGCGTCCGGCGCCGGAGGCGGCCGCACCCTGAGTGACGGCGACTCGGACCCGCGCGGCTCCGGCGGCTGCTGCAACAAGTGATGGCCCGGCCCGGCTCGGCCGGCGGCCGCCCGGCAATACTGTTCATAGTGAGTGGTGGGCGTGCCGCGTCGCCGTCCCGACACGCGTCCGGCGGCTGAATGTGCTGGTGACCGTGAAGGCTGTTCACTGGCGGTGTGGGAGACTGTCCTCAGCGGCAAGAGACGGCGGAAGTGGTCGGGTGAGGGAGGAGGGGTGCCTCCCGGAATGAAACAGATTTAACATTAACTTCGTTATATTGCATGGCAGAAAATGAGCCAAACGTCGCGTCGCTCCACCCTCCTCCATGTTGGAAAGTCCGCCGTTACGGCTGCCCACCTCATCTTCCCGCGTCCTTCGGGCAGTGCTTTTCATCTTGTAACGAGTGGGTGCCGCCCCTCTTACCCCCGCCTTCCTGACTCGCCAGATATGTGGGCCTGCTCACAGCGAGTTTTTGTCCCATTTCTCGTTCAATCCGCCGTTTGTTAAGTAGCAACAAGACATATTGCGACATGCATGTAAATAGAGGAGCGAACCATAAGGAAGCGAATAAACTGATCATCGCAGATCGTTGTAGCACCTGTAGGGTACGTGGTTGTACTGGTTGGCGATCCTTCACTTCCGGCGGGACGGAAGAACTGTAGGGTGCATGAGAGTTACGTGGTATCATCTTGAAGTGCGCGACTACCGACGCACCGTGGTCGGGCGCGCACGGCCGGGGACATCTCCCCGCCCAGCCAGCCGGCGTCGGCTGGGACGCGGCCCAGTGTATGTGGTGCCGCGGCCGAGGCGGTAGTGTGCCGAGGCCGAGACCGGCCCGGCCGCGGCCGCCCTGCGGTCCGGCCCGTAACCACGACGCCACCATCGACCACGCACATTTGACTATCGACCGAGCTGGCGGCGGCGGCGACGGCGCGCTGGGGCGGCCGGCCAGCTGTGGTCACACGTGGCCCGCGGCCCGCAGCGACGGTCCGCCGCCTGTCAGCGCCAGAGTCGGCTGCTACCGTGCCGCCGCGGGCGGTGTGGGACACGTGGCCGCTGTCGTGCGCAGGGTCGGCCTGCTATCTAGTGTGGGGGTGACTGGGTGTGCCCCATGTAGGTCGGCGTCGGGCCCTCCGGGTGTGAGGGTGGCCGGTGCGTGTGTGCTCCTTGTTAGTCCAGGGTCGGGTTACCCGCCGACGTGTGAAATGCTGAGTGGGTTGGCACGCCCCCGTCGGGTCAGAGTCAGGTCTCTGATCGATGTGTGGGGTAGTGAGCGCTTGTCTCCCCCTTTAGATCAAGGACTGTCCAGGCCGGTACGTGAGCGGTGGTCACAAGGATGGTGTGGCTGGGGAGGCGGGCCGGCCTGGTGGACTGTCGCTGCATTCGTCCGCGATTCTCCCACGCCGCAGTTGCTTGCTCTCGCCTTGTCCGTGATTTCCGTACCACGGATTGTTGTTTGAGTTCATGCGCGTGCATTGCGCAGGAGGTTGTGCGCATCGGCATACTGCGGTAGGGTGTGATGAAGGGAAGATAGCCGCGTGTCCCGTCCACTCCACTGCACATATTGTGCTTCTTGTTTAGACGCTTGCGAATCTTTTGAAAGGCCGGGAACATCATAACTGTCGTTCGACTGTGGCGTTAGCCGCTGATGTTGTAGCACCCCGTGTACGCAACGCTGTAAGTGAAAAAAGACTTTGGCAGGCTGGAATTTGTGTCATGCGTTTTTCCGGATTTTTTCCAAATAATTTCGTTTAAAAATGTTGAACTGCACGAACGAGTAAACCATGACATGCACCATCACTTGGGCAGTCAAACTAAGTAAAAACCGCTTTTACCAAGCATGATGTACGGGGACCTTGGTATGGCTAAAAGGTAACGCTGTAAGATCGCCTTCAAACCGTGTTCTCCATTCCGCGGAGTTTTGCCGACGTCCGCTTGTTGATGTTCCGTGGCACGAAGCTCCTGTCCTTGACCTACCAAAACTGCTGGTTGGCACGCGATGATGCTCACAACGCACGCTTGTCTCGCCTATTTCCCGCGTGTTGATCCCCGCTTCGTGCTGGATCTGTGAGGCCGCCCGCTCGGTAGGTATGCCGCGGATGGCGCGTCTGACGCTGCCCGTGCCGTGCCGTGCCGTGCCGTGCCGTGCCGTGCCGTGCCGTGCCGTGCCGTGCCGTGCCGTGCCATGCCGTGTTGGCGAGCGGCCCGCTGCGTGTCGCCGATCCCTGCCGCGAGGCGCCGGCGCACCCTCGTGCTGTGCCGTGCCGTGTCGGCGAGCGTCCCTGCGTGTGTCGCCGATCCCTGCCGCGAGGCGCCGGCGCACCCTCGTGCCGTGCCGTGCCGTGCCGTGTTGGCGAGCGGCCCGCTACGTGTCGCCGATCCCTGCCGCGAGGCGCCGGCGCATCCTCGTGCCGTGCCGTGCCGTGCCGTGTTGGCGAGCGGCCCGCTGCGTGTCGCCGATCTCTGCTGCGAGGCGCCGGCGCATCCTCGTGCCGTGCCGTGCCGTGCCGTTCTGTGTTGGCGAGCGGCCCGCTGTGTGTCGCCGATCTCTGCTGCGAGGCCCCGGCGCACCCTCGTGCCGTGCTGTGCCGTACCGTGTTGGCGAGCGGCCCGCTGTGTGTCGCCGATCTCTGCTGCGAGGCGCCGGCGCATCCTCGTGCCGTGCCGTGCCGTGCCGTGCCGTGTTGGCGAGCGGCCCGCTGCGTGTCGCCGATCTCTGCTGCGAGGCGCCGGCGCATCCTCGTGCCGTGCCGTGCCGTGCCGTTCTGTGTTGGCGAGCGGCCCGCTGTGTGTCGCCGATCTCTGCTGCGAGGCGCCGGCGCACCCTCGTGCCGTGCTGTGCCGTACCGTGTTGGCGAGCGGCCCGCTGTGTGTCGCCGATCTCTGCTGCGAGGCGCCGGCGCACCCCCAGTCCGCAAGTGATGACCACCGCGTGTGCCGCAGGTCTCTTACCTGAAGCAAGCCCTGCTCGCGCGACACCGGGCTGCCGTCCGCTCGACGGAGCGACATTCCTGTGACCCGGCAGCCGGGTCAGGTCAGGTCAGGTCAGGACTCCGCGCGGCTGACCAATCACGGACTGGCAAAAACACAACACCTAGCGGAACCATCAGCGTCTTTGCATGTGATACGTGTGTAATTTTGTATGAGGGGCGGGGAGGCCGGTGCCCCGGTCGATTTTATGGGCGGCCGGGCGGGGTGACGGCCGTGCCGCGGCGGTCGGCCTCTCGTGTGCTAGGCTCGTGTTTTATTTTGTTAAGCATCTATCAGTTTTGTTAAGTTGAATGTAAAAATGGTATCTGATTGTATTTGTATTTTACGGCGCTGGGGCTGGCGTCCGCTTCGATCATGTTTGCCGGCCGCCCGTGATTGGCGCTCCTGCTGTGACGTCACACGGCCCGGCGGGTCGCGCATCGCTTCTGCCCCGGGGCGCCGCGCCGCCTGAGACACTGCGAGCTGTGTCTGCCTGGCGGCGCGGACCCGCCTCCGGCCGCCAGGGGCGCCACCGTCGTCTACCGCCCTCCTGTAAACAGCACTCGCTATCGCGCTGCTACTCTATTGTAATGTACATAGCAACAAAATATACATATTATTCATTCGGCGTGTTTGGGGTTTGGGGACAGATATGATGGAAAAATACAGCGTGGTAGTCGTCCTTTACGGGCGCCTAAAACAAGAAAGGACAAAGTTGCGCAGTCCAGCAATCCTCTTCAAACTTGTATTTGTCGCCCGTATGTTTACAGCAGATGTTTACGTTTGAAACCTGGTACTCCCTTGTTTTAATTCTTTCAACCCTTCGACATATTAGCGTCTGACCAATCTGTAGAAGCTCTACAATGGCGCCTGATGGCACGCCGGACTGTGAGCGGTCTCCGTAACGGATGCACCAAGCTCTATTACGATGAACGCCAGCGAAGCACGATGTTTTAATCGTCGGAAGCTTGGTGGCTCGCGAGAAAAACGTGATTTATATAACATGCGCCCCGATTTTTGAGCAGTCTCATGTGGTTGGGCGAATCTCGTGCGGACTACCGCTATCACGCGAAGGGAACGTAGATTGTGCCAAAAGCAAAATAAGGGGCGTGTATAGTGGCCACCTGAGGAGGAAGTTGATCTTGTTCAGGCGGGGAGTTGAGTTGCCGAGTTATGTTACCTGAATCTTTGGCGTAAATATGCTATATTTTTACCTATGAGGTAAGCTGATGACTCGTCGCGGGTCATTGGTTGCTCATCCACTCCCTCACAATCAAGAGAAGATATAACTGCCTCAAGCTGACGTCAGCTGGCAGTGGATCGACTGAGACGGTGTGATGTGCTTCAGAGAGAGTGGGTGATGTGAGCGGGCTGACCTTGGGACGGTGTGATGTGCTTCAGCGAGAGAGTGGGTGATGTGAGCGGGCTGACCTTGAGACGGTGTGATGTGCTTCAGCGAGAGAGTCGGTGATGTGAGCGGGCTGACCTTGAGACGGTGTGATGTGCTTCAGATAGAGTCGGTGATGTGGGTGGGCTGACCTTGAGACGGTGTGATGTGCTTCAGAGAGTCTGTGATGTGAGTGATCTGACCTTGAGACGACGTGATGTGCTTCAGCGAGAGAGTCGGTGATGTGAATGGGTTGACCTTGAGACGGTGTGATGTGCTTCAGAGAGAGTCGGTGATGTGAGTGGGTTGACCTTGAGATGATGTGATGTGCTTCAGAGGGAGTCGGTGATGCGGGTGGGCTGACTTTGAGACGGTATGATGTGCTTTGGGGAGAGCAATGAGATCAAAACAATCATTGGTACGAGTGGAGAATGACGAGAGAAGTTGGAAAGGCAGAGGTGCTGGAATGAGCATCTTTCAGTGACAGGAATGACGTGCCACGTGCTCCACCCAGTGTTAACTATCGGGAAATGGTTGAGGCGTCCCAACCTTTACGACCACGAACAGCTCGAGCTGTGAGACCGAGATGTCTTGGAACACTGAATGTGAAACGTTCACGTCGCTGCGCATACGTTCCATCGCATTTTCGACATTCGCTATGGAGGGGCAGTTCTGAAAGCAGTGCTCGTTGCGCTTGGTCGACACGAGACCCTGACTTAGTCCGATGGAAGGTGCCGGGGTCCTGAGTGACCTTGTACCTCAGGATGCGGATCATAGACGCATTTGGGCATCTGGAACCACTGTCCATTATGGAAGCACAACTGAATAATCTCACCGTTTCCCTTCGTCCTCACCGAGGTAACAGCTGCAATGACGTGATATCCGTTGTCTGGTGCCGCGGCTGTTCGAGTTGAGTCGGTCAGCTCCCGCTTTGGCGAGTTCCTGGCTCGATGACGCGCCGTTCGGTCAAGCGAGCAGTCCAGCGTCGGAGACAGAGTAACACAGCGTCGGCGTTGGTGTGGCGGAGCACGGCAGCTTCTCACCTTTCCGGGAGCGTTGCGGTTGAGCTGGAGCCAGCGATGACCCGCCCAGCGAGGGCAATTAAATTTATCCCAAGCTTGGGGCAGGGGCCCAGCCTCTATGGTCATTTATTTTCTGTTAACACTCAAACGGCGTTCACTGTTCGGTGCCAAGTTTTCAGAAAATCGGGGGCTCGCCCCCATCTGCCCCTCTTGTTCCTATGCCCCTGTGACCTACTGTTTTAAGTCATTAAATTTCCAGATCCGATAGTCCCTCTCGTGTAAGGAATACAATATCCCCTTGCCACGAGGATCGACCAGCTGTCTTGCCCTGGTGACTCCTCCGGTCCTTGTCATAGAAACACTGGGAAAAGCCAAGCCGAGGCTGCAACACAGATCCTATTGGACGACACCGCCCAGCTGGCCTTCTTCGATTAGGCTTTTGGGAAATATTCACCCCACAGAAAATTGCAGCAGGCTGAGAAAGCCTGCAACGCTAGAATTTATGCATACATGAAGAATGCTCATTGGCATACAAATTTACTTTGACGTTGTGGCAGCTACTGCGGTTGATTCTTTCAGCTGGGCTTTTGTTTGCATATGCTCCCCGGGTGCTTTTTGAGCATCTCCGGCATGGAGGACCAAACAACAGCGAGCCGGAATTTGTTTGGATTCAGACTGGCGGCGCCGCCCTGCCTCTCGTCTGACTTTCTATGACATGAAGGTCACGCCTCTCGGCGCAGCGTCTGGCTGTTAAAGAGGGCAGCACTGTCGTTATCGTGAAGCGTCTTTCCCGGAGCGGCCAATACGGATTGGACGACTGAGGTGACCGATGGATATCACAATGGTTTGATCGCATTCATCGCACTTTAACGCTTCTATGACTGCTATGTGTAACATACATTGCACTTGTCGAGACTGCGTTGTCCAGTATCACATCTAGTAACAGATCATAACGTAGATTCGCCATTGGCATCGGCATGGGGCACTCTTGTGACTCAGGCTTGTTCTGCCTGAGCAGAAGTTCAGTAGCTATCCCGATTTCTTACGATGGCCATCCGGCCAAGCTGCTTTGTAAGAACCCTGAACAGCTTTTCCCCAGATCCGCCACTCACGGCTTGGCCCGCAGACAACGCCGCCTGAAACATCAACAGGGCCCCCGACAGCCCTGTGAAAACACTCCGACTTGCGGGTGCAACTTCGCAGCTGGTCATAAATAGCCGGCGGCTACGACTCGCGTCGCCGGCGCCGAGAGATGAGCGTCGGCTCTGATGAGGGGCCTCCTCTCCCTCTGAGTATTGGTTCACACGGGTGGCCGCCCCCTCCCCTGACGGCTGCCGGCTCTGAGCGTCGGTTCAGGCGAGGGGCCTCCCTTCCCTCTGACGGCTGCCGGCTCTGAGCGTCGGTTCAGGCGAGGGGGGGGGTCCCTCCCCCACATACCCCGGCCGGCTTCGATTCCTTTGTATTTGCTTTTTTGTTGTCCTTTCGATCAGGTGATGGTCGGGCGTGGCATAACACTTACTCCTCGTTTACAATGGGTTAGGGGCAATGGCACAGTCCCTTGGGCGCGCCTGGGAGTCTGGTACGAACAATGTTTTGGTCGCGGTATCTGAACACGTGCTCGCACTGGAAGCATGCCCGTACCGGTGGACGCAGCGTAGAACTCGTACCGAGTCCCCCCCCCCCTAGCTCATGTGTATGTTTGTGGAGGCAGTGCTCATCACATTTTCTCCGATCTTGATGTCCGCAAATGGCCCTCATGGAAATTGCAACAAGTTTGCTGTAACTGGTGAGCTGTGGCAGCCTGGTGGACCTCAAGTGCACCGGAGCCCATGGTTTCCTGTGGTCCGGTGCTCTACATCCCCGATAGAAAATAAAATATTGTGTACAATCATTAGGCAGGATGCTAACAGAGCCGTCATGCGAAAGGCCTATACGCGAGTAACCAGGGGCGCAGCCAGGGACTTGGCAAGGGGGCACAGGACAGATGCAGGGGCTCCCGAGAGTGGAAGTCCCCCTAAAAAAAGAAAATGTAATCGCCGGATACGGTCCATATGTTGATCATGGAATGCTTTCTTTGTCATGTTTTCATCGTTACCTTTTATAGCTGAAGGAAAAGCCAGAAGCTACCGTGGGATCATTTCTGTCAGGAATGTTGCAGTCAATAAACCCAAGAAATTATGCGTTAGACGATTACATGAAGTAAACCACCGATGCATTTCATTTTGCAATGGTCCGATGGAATGTTCTTAAGCCGACAACATCCGGAAGCTTTGCAATAGTTTTGATCTGCGTTTTACAGAGATATTAAGGGGAATGTTCCACAGTTGTATGGGGTTTTAAACTGAAAGTGCTCTCTAGAAGATTATCCAGTGCAGATTATAGCCATGTCCTTTTTAACACCCAAACCCGTGTAGTTTGAGCTTCACGTCCGCGAAGACATGCAGACTTTTTCAGGCGTACTATTTCAAGATAACCCAGGCACCTATGACGCCACAATAATGTCATTCAAATGTTGCCATTTCATAGATCATGCGGCGATCAAAACCAATACAAATACAGCTGTCGACTCGTTCATATCTGGCGTTCGTGAGCACGATTGACAATGTAACGACCATCAATTAGTCGTCAATCATTGTTGTGCAAGGTACGATGACGCAGTCCAACAACGACGCATTGAGTGGTATATTTACTAGAAAGAGAAACGGTGCTGTCTAGAGTAAATGTGTGTTAACAGTTATGTCTTTCCTAGGCATAGCAGACTAGGCTGCAGTCGGAGCCTCCGCACGAGACTCCGAACAGCCCTCTGTGTCATTAGGCTCTCAACTTGAGCCCTTGATAGTTGATCCTGGTGAGCCCTCCCGGCCTTTCGGGCCCCATGGAACATTGCATCTGGCCGACTCGGGACCCGTTGCTGACACAGAGCCCCATGTTAGATGCTGCGGGGCCCTGGCAAACACTGCGCTTCCGACCAATGTAAATCGTGGATTTCGGCTTTTTTCCTTTTTGGGAAGTGGACCCTCAGGGCCAGGCCTACACGGAGCCGACTGGCATTGTACGTTAGTAACCGTGTCTGATCGAAATATATGCTCTTATCGACTCAGGAGGCCACTGATCAGCGCACAGGGCGCTCTTGCTGGCACTGGAGTGCCCGATCCTGCAGGTCAGAGCCCCTGAATGCCACTTCCGGCCGGCCCTTCGGGCCCTTAGTTGTGGGTC